CCGGAGAGAACGAAAGGAAAGCGGCGGGCGGGAGAAGGACGGCGGCCGCCGTGAGAAGCTGCGGAATAAGGGTGAAGGAGCGAGAAGGAGCGCCGACGACGGCAACGGCGGCATAGCGGCGGGTGGCGCGGCGTCGAAGGTGGAGGAGGACGACGCGAGGGCCGTCGAGTGGGTGGCTGGCCGGACGGGGGGGAGGGGAGGAACCGGCGGGCGGCAGAAGAGAAGGGGGCAGGGGGTCGAGGGAAAAGGACATTAAGGTGCGTAATAGCCAGCGGGGCGAGCGCGCACCGCCGCGGCATCGATTAGACAGAGGCTCCCTCATCCCATTGCTAGAATGCAGCCCACCCTCTCCTCTTCCTCCTCCGCCACCTTCAACCACCCACTCACCCGCCATCCCGGCCCCCTCCCCCCGCCGCCCCCGACGCAGGGTCCCCACGACCACCCACCCTCCACCTACTCCGTCGAACTGGAGAGCCCCCGAGTACGTGCTCTACATACACACTCGCGCGCTTATGTCAGTTCCTGTCCTGCTGCCGGCGCTGCCACTGCCGCCGCCACCGTTGCGAGGAGGAGAAAGAGAAAGACAGAGAGAGAGAGAGAGAGAGAGAGAAAAGGAGAGAAAGAGAGACTCGGTACCGGAGAGCGAGAGCAGTGGGCCTGGGGAGAAAAAGAGACAGTGGCTACGGCGAAGGGTGGCCGAAGCCACCTCTCTACCTATCCCGTGGCACCTATACACGCGCGTCGGGGACACCAACGTCTAACGTCGTTATAAACATTAACGGAGCGGCTCAATATTCCCCGGACCTTGCATCCCCCTGCGTCTACCTCCGGTCCATGTCCCTTCTCAGGCAAGCAGGCCCCTTCCCTTCCCCCCCTCCCCCGCTAGCCGGACGCTCGCATGCGGCGAGCTCACCTTGCTACAGTTTCCGGGTCCTCGGTTGACCCTACGGAGGGTCACCTAGTACCTAGTTGGTATGCCTCGGACGACCGAAGTCGAAAGGGTGTACTCGCCACTTCTTAGCGAGTGTACGAAACATTGAATGGTACTTGCGGCGTAACCAGCTTTCGCGGACACTACCCGTCCGTCCGATAACGCGGGCCTTTGTCCGAGACCGCTTCTTTCCCAGTATCGGCTATAAACAAACTCAGAGATTTGCGATACATCTTTCGTTTACGTGGGATGCTCAAGTCTTATAGAAATTATTAATAAAGACAGATTTTTTTATACATGTATTGAGTCGTCACTTCATATAAAATTATATCGAATATTCGGCACAATAATTCATGTACGAATATAAAGTGCAATAATAGTTTATTATTTGTTATTACGTAAAAAAAACCTAGAATTAAATTTCTTTGGACAGAGTATGTGCAATGATTGAATGTAAATTGAAGGAGGAGCGTTATGCGACGAAGTTAGAAATTGAAAAGGATCGATCCCCTCGCGTATTATTCCGATCAAACTCCAGTCCTAACGGCGAAAGATCGAAACGGCACAATAAATGGCTCGCCGAATTTGTAATTGGAGACAAAGAGAACCGAACGTTCGCCGTTTCTCTTGCAAATACAAACAAGTCTAGCAGAATTACGTTAGGGAGATTCAGTCGATTTCATATACGATCACTCGGTGGATCTCATCGTTCTCGAACCGGGATGAGGAGGAGAGCGATGAAAAGGAGGTTAAGAGAGTCCACGGGAATGGAGCCCGTGGTCGCTTACGGCTTCAGATCGGGATCGTCTAATTTCGTTCGACGAGTCCCGCAAGGATCCTTCTCTCCGTCGTCTTCGTCGTCGTCTTCCGCTCGCTCTATTCGGACTTCGATTTCGGTGACGGGGTTGTACGAAACCGACACATTCGTGTCCGAGGGATCTGATTATTGTTAATTATAGCAGACATTAAGAGCGAGAGAGGGTGCGGGACCCTCGATCATTCTGGCCAGATTAGTGATGATGATCGAAGGCGCAGTAGATACCGTTCCCCATGATCGCGTAGGCCATTTTACTTTAGCGAATCATTGTTAGTTGCAGCTAAAATATATATATATATGAAAGAGAGAGAGAGAGAGAGAGAGAGAGAGAGATGTTATTCTATAAAATAATTAGTTTTTTTACAGCACAAGACACTTCTTAATTTTATAGTATACTATTAAAATTCTAGGATGTGTATCTCTCTGTCTATGATATTCATATAACACAAAATTATTTTATATTTTTACTCCTTCGTATGTCCATCTGTATATAGAAATATAAGTTTTGGGAGATGCAAATTATAAATATTAAAATAATGCAGCTGCGAAAAAACTTGTGTATATAACATATTAATCTGGCACAGTAAAATTTATAATAATACGCTATTGCGATAAATCGGTATCGAATTATGCGGCAAATTAAATTTTATTAAGTATTATTTATTTCTCGCGTTTCCTTGTCTTTCTCTTCACGATCAGATCGTTTTGAGGGGCAATCTCGCGTTTACACGTTACATCGTTGGCAGCAGGTGCGCATCCTTTTTCCGCACCGCGATCGGTAATTAGGGATTAGTCATCGACGATCCTCGATCAACGGCGACAACGAGCAGCACTGGAAGTGCTTCGACCATGGATATTACATTGACGTATCGGTGCTTCAGCCACTTTCACGCAGACATCACCCAATTAACGGCCGTTGTTTTTTCGGCAAATACTCGTAAATCTCGGCGCGCATCTGACCGTCCGGTTTATCCGCGATACTCGTGGCCAATCGTCCTTCTTATTAATGTCGTACACGTGTTACATACGTGACACGACGGATTTGCGCGGAATCGTTCGAGTTTCGAGGGATATCTAATCCGTCTCTTATTAAGGCCTGTTTACTGTTGATTTATCAAGTTAGTTTTGCTTATAGTTGACATCAGAATAGCTCGATCCATTAATTCCGTGATTACTGCAAATATACAACATATTTGCTGTTATTCTTAAGGCTATCTTTGATAAATTAGGTTTGATTTTTGTCATTGGAAGAATATTCTAAATTAATTGCTCAAAAAACTAATTTTCTGAGAAATTAATTTAAATTTTTAAAGAGTTGTTTTATTAGCAAATTACATAAGAGATGTTTCTTGATATTGATAGACTGTTATTGGAGAAAAAACGTCATACATAAATTCGCAAGTGCATTCTTTCAAATGTAGAACGTTTCAGAATGTCATGTACGGTGTATTAAATTTATGTAGAGTGTCAAGAGGTATCTTGGAATATCTGCGGGAAAATTATCGAATATTATGGCTGCTGCAAATAATAAGATTACAATACATTGTCTTGCTTCAACAGTTTCCGTTACAGAGTCTGATATTGGGAAAACGAATTGCAAAAAATTCTCCGTGGAATTTGATCCGAAGTTTACTCTTTAAAGGTATATCGGCAACAGGGGAATAATCCACGAAGTCCGCTCGTTCGGATCCCTTCTGTTATGCGGCCACGCGTGATATTCAACATCCGATCGAGGGCGGTTAACCCGGGCGCTAAGTTGGTTACGTTGTAACGGAAACATTTTTGCAACTTCTCGACTATATGCAAATCGAATTTCGGTCACGTCAAAGGTAAACTACGAACGACGACGAAACCGGGATGCGGGATATTAGTCGATCGACAGAAAGAAAGAAGGAGAAAGGGAGAGCGCGAAAGGGAAGAGAGGAGGAGAGAGAGAGGAGGAAACGAGACGACACCGACGAGCGTGTTTCGGAGCCGGATGGAAATTTCATTCGCTAGTTTTCTCCGCTTAATAAGACGAGAGACAGAGCCACGAGGTCGCTGCCGGTTTGCAGACTTCGGAAAGGGGAAACAGAAAGGGCGCAACAAGGGCGGGGGTGATGCGGAGGACGCGCACGGGCTGCACGGTGGAATAGGGGGGACGCGGCGAAAAGGGAGAACGGGCGGGGGATGCAGAGGGGCGGCCAGGACTGGGAGGCGAAGTGTCGTCGTCCGAATAACGGCCAAGCGGCATCGACCGATCTTCCTGCCCCCGGCCCGCACGAAGCGTCAACTTGTTTCCCTTCTGCTGCGCGAATATCGGACCTTCAATTTGCCCACTGCGGTTCGCTAACGCGATTGTCCTCAGCGAGCTGTCCATGACGCGGTTGTTGCGTGACGCGTGATCAGGGTATGACGGCTAAACGGTTCTCGAATTTACTTCGCGGAGGTACACGCGCTCGAAACCGCGAGCAAATGAATTCCTACTGTCAAATTAGGAAACGAGATGAAATAACACCTGAAAAACACCTTTTTTACAGATTTTTTTTTCTTCTGTATTATTTGGTTCTATATAAAATAAAGATTTACAATTTAACCGAAACTAATTCAAACCATGTAATATACTTTTAAAATACTTATAATATATTTTTTCTAAAATTAAAAAGTAAAATGTACGAAACATATTACAAAGTAAAACAATTATTTAAAATACAACTTTTTATTAACCCTAGCTAGCCACACTTATTTTCGAGTCTTTAATTCGCTACACTCCGATCCGTGAGACCGCTCGACTTTGTCATATTGTCATTTGTATTCTAATTAATATTTTTAAGCTTGTACTGTGTAGAATTTGATAATACAGACTTTAAATAAGATGTTTATGATAATATTAGGTCAAGAAAATGATTTGAATTTAAACTAAACTTATTATAAGAAACTATAAAATTATGTTATTATATGTGAAAACTAGAAAACTGAAAAACGTTCAGCGGTCCACTGGATCGGAGTGTGGCAAGCTAGAGTTAATTTTTAGGTATGTCTTTCTTCAAACTTTGCATTTCTTGTTCTTAATTATTATTATTTAGAAAAAATATGTTATAAAAATACTTAATTCATATGATAATTGTATAATAAACGTATTCACAGCCATAACAGTATTCCAAAGCCCAATCCGTGCTGCCGCGTCACAAGGTCGATTGCAATAATAATATTTAAGGAAGAAAACAATAGTTGTTCAAATTAAAATAAGCAATACTTCTGATGTTATTTCAGCGCAGTTTCATCTGAGCTCGACCGATGGAGGGCTATGAAGAAGACGATGACACCCATTTCTGCATCAAGTGTAACTTGACAATCCACGGGCTCGACAATTATGTGCGGCATCGTCGATCGGGCTGCCGATCGCCCAACGTTAAAATCGAGATTGTTCACGATCCACCGTCGACGCCGACGACCGTGTCCTATCCCGAGATTCTTAACGCGGACGCTTTCTTCAGTTCGCTGGAATTACAGAGCAACACTCGGCGAGCGCCGACTTTACTGGATAACAGTCGGAAATTCAAGAAAGATGACAAGAGAAAGAAGGACCAGAAAGGTCAGGTGGATGGTGACGAGCCCGGCTCGAAGGATAAGCTTCACAGCATGTTACCCGCCGTCAGCGATCTGGACGAACCGCCGGATCTGTGCATCCAGTCTCTCAAGCAGACCACACTCGAACGAAAGAGGCACGAGAATCAGCAGAGTTGGTTGGACGATAGTATTCTCGCCGACCTTGCTTTGGGGAATAGCGCGAACAAGGAGCTGGCGAGATATGGAGTCGACTTCGAGGAGTACGATGACTCCGAGGACGACGTACTGGAGGAGGAATTGGAGGAGGATTCCTATTCAGACTCGGATGACGGCGAAAATCGGGAGCGTCCACCGCGAGATCACACCGGTGGAAAGTGGAAGCCCGGACTTGACGATTTGCCACAGCCACAGGACATGCCGCATATGCATGAGGAGGACGACGATCATCAGGAACATCCCCCACCGACATATACCGGCGGCAAATGGCGACCCACGGAGACATCGCAAGTAAGAAAAAAAGATTTATTTCAAGAGCATGAGAAATTTTGTATTATAAATTGTAGTTCGAAAATGAGCGTTTTTGCTTCGAGAGGTAGCACACGAATAATGAGTTTCCTCAGGAGAATATTATAAATAAAACAATGGAAAAATAACGCGAATGAAATCAGGTTAATGCGCGAATTTTTAACGTAAATTTGATTTGTCTTGAGAATCATCCTGTGTATCATGAATTTGATATGCAATTTGATTCTACGAGTGTACGCGACCTCTCGCGCGAGCGATGACGATTTGTTGGACAAAGAGACATTGACCATTACAGAAGGTCGAGGAATACGAAAGCAAGAACACATCCGGACAACCGCCGCCAGGACACACGCGAGGGAAATGGGTACCGGGTGCGCGAACGGATATCGAGTCGGGATATTGGTGCAATCCTTGCGGCAGGAAGCTCGCCTCACGATTGGTCTACAACAGGCATCTGCTCTCTGATTTGCACGCCAGGAGGAGCATTAAGGAGCTCGACGGCGGTCTCCATCTACGACGCGGAATAAATTCGCACGCGAGAGTATCCAGAAGAGTGTCCACTCGTAGGCAGACTTCGCTTACAACGGTAATGGTCTCTTCAATACCTGTTAACGCATCATCAAACCCAATATTTTTACTTTCTGTTAGCTTATTTAAGAGATATACTGCTTCTTCTATTAGATAGAAAATAACATGAATTTTATCCTGTCAGGTAAAAATAATTCTTATGCATTAACTAGTCGACAGTTACAATTATAGGTATCTTTATTTCACTAACACTTTCTTTTAAAAAGAATTTCTAAAATTGATGGGAAAATATCAGATAAAATTGCGCTTAGAAGAGAAAGATCAGTTAAACCTGTGCGCCTCTTTATATATTTATAACTCGTAAAGATTTAAATTCTATCCGATTATTTATGAGATAATATACCGTGTTTCAAAAATATCGCGCGACATTAACTCTCTAGGAATTACATAAAAGCAGAAACATATTTCAAATGTAAATAACAATAGCAGTTCTCTTAACGGCGCGGACGAAAATTTTTCTAAATCTCTAATGCAAACTGTCCGGTTAAGTCACGCTGTGTTATCAGAGGACGAAAGAAGAGCCCGAGCAAAAGAAAGTTAAGAAAGGTCTGCGTCGAAGAGAGAAGGAGATTCTTCTCTGCGAGATGTGCCGCACGCGCGTGAGGAGGCCTCAAATGGGTAAACATTTGCTCTCCCATTACCATTGCCGTGTGTCAGGTGTCCTTGTGAATCCTCGCAATCCGAGTGTACGCCGTTTCCTTCTGGAGCACATAGCGAACGTGGTACGACAGAGCCCCTTCCAATGCGCTCCTTGTCGTTTTTACTGCAACACCGAGGAAACGTTCCTGCTTCATTGGCGTTCTGATCTTCACTCCAAGACCGTCGAACAGGTGAGTGGCCGCTCGTTCATCGAGAAGCCAGACGCTAAGAATTTTTTGGGTCAAGATTCGAATCGGCGTATCCGCGTTTTTGTCTGCATCGATGCACGTATTATGCACAATCACGCGTGCGATTCTTGCACCTGTCGACGAGTCATTACCCAACGAACATTAAATAGATGAGAAACGAATAAAGCGGGCTTAATTGACTCGTGCACCCGGACGTTTGGTTGCACGCGCAAAGAGACTCCACACGTCATTTTTTCTTTTTCTCTCTTTTCCCTCTCAGATCGGCGGTAGTTGCCGATGCACTCCGTGCAATTTCTGGTGCGAAGACAATGCGACAATGGAGTCTCACCTCCTGAGTACGAGTCATCGTGACGTAGTATCGATGATGAAGGGCTCCGTGCCGGTGGTAATTAGTCGTCAGCGTACGTTAGCCTGCAGCAGTTGCGATCGGCAATTCCGATACAACTTCCAGTTGCGGTTGCACGCCAAAGAGACCGGTCACACCGCGAGTTACACTGCGTCGGACGTGTATCAGCAACGTATCAAATGCGATCTATGCCCCCAAGTCGTCCGGTCCCTAGTCGCGCTTCAACGTCACCAGCTGACCAGTCATGTCGCCAAAGACAAAGCAAAGGGCGAGGTCGTGGCGGACGCACAACCGGCGCCGTACTTCTGCTCCTTCTGCTCGTTGAACTTCCCCACCGCCCAAGAAGCGGTTCTGCACCGACGAACTTCTAGTCACAAGGAAGCTGTAAAAGCACGCAAGAGTGAGGAAGGTCTGTTGGAGACAGTGCGGGAGTGCCCTCACTGCGACCGGAAGCAGCCGAATCTCGCAGCGCATAAGAATCATCTCCTTCTTTGCCATCCGGAAATTTGCCACAGGTAATTTATTATTTTCTGCGGCGGCAAATTTTTAACGTTGTTTAACAGTTGCGCGATGTTACACGTTGTCTTCGTAATTCTTTCATTTGTAGAATAGAGTAAGAACTATCGTTTCTCTAATTATACGATATTTTTAAAGCGTTCGTTAATTTTTCCTTTAACAATCTAAAGTATTTTAACAAATCTAAAGTATTTTGCAATTCTTTTCTATAATTTATAATAATATTAGGTATCTCGCATATAGTTTCAATGGCATTTTTCGTAATTTTTTTGACCAGATGTCCTCGATGCGGCCTGCTTTTCGCCCTGTCACAAGACGTCACTAGGCACACGCGAGAGGGTAATTGTCTCAAGAACGATAAATCGAACGCGGCTGAGGCAGAAAGCGTGAAGGAATGGAAATGCAAGGATTGCATCTTCTCGACGGATTCCAAAGCCGAATTTATTTTTCACGAGGCCCTGCACGCCGGTGCTGTTCAAGAAACGGACAAAGGAGCGTCCAGTTCGAGCAAGTTGTTGCCGAAATATAAGTGCCCGACTTGTGCGAAAGCTTTCCCGAAAACATCGCTACGGAATCACATCAGGCAGCATACCGGAGAGAAGCCCTTCCCCTGCGTGAAGTGTTCGATCTCGTTCTCCAGGAGATCGCATCTCATCATTCACCAGAGGATATGCAGCACTTCGTCGAAATCTCTGGACAAGACTGGTCGTCGGCGGAGCTTCGTCTGTTCGCATTGCAAAGAAGGCTTCTACACAAAGTAAGTGACAGTTCAATCTGTTTATTGTTATTATTAAAGTTACGATGCATAAGTGACATACTTGTGCCAAAACTTCCGTTCCAAAACTTTTGACGAAACGAAAGTTTAATTTATTAGAAACGAAAGTTTAATTTATTAGTTTTCTTGAAATTCATTATTGCTAATATCAAATCGTGTTAAAAAATAATGATATTAGAGAAATATCGTAGAAATATTGAAATAATATTAAAAAATTCCGTAATAATTGCGGAACAAACACCGCACAGAAATTATAAGTTGGACACGTGTCCCGTGTGAGAAATTGTTTATGCTATCTGCTATGGGGTATTGCGCATATTGAACTGCGATAATAATGATTCTGTTGTAATAAATAGCACGTACCGTTCGCAAAGGGAAAGGAGCTCATTTACATTCGCATTCATAATCGCGTTTTGATCTCAAATGTTTGCAACTGGAAAATAATTTACATTCGAGTAAATATATCTTACGCAAAATAACGATCTTTTCGTAGCGAGATCGTTTAGATTTAGAGCGATCTGAATTGACGACCGAAATAAATTTACTCTCTAAAATATTGCTAGCCTCAACTTTTCGACTTGTGCTCTCCATTCTCGACGCGTCATATGCTATTTTTCCCGCAGCGTGACCGTTTCGTAATAAATAAAGGATAGCGTATTCGGGAGTAAAAACGCCCTCCGGCAATAAAAGCCCTCGCCGCGAGCCGGAACCGCGAAATGTTCACGCGGTCATAGTAAAAGTGTCCTCGCTGCATAACTATAAAACGAAGGAGCGTGGCCCAACGCGCGGAGGAGGCCAGGCAGAGCAGATCGAAAACGCGAGAGAAAAGAAGCGAGACTAGTCTGCGAGGCGTTGCGAGCGGAAAAGAGAGAAAACAAACGGGTTAGAAGGAAGAGACGGGCGCGCTCGTTGGCCCGACAACGGGTGTCGTATTAACATCTCATAGCAATGTATATGAACCCGCCGGTCATTTCGCTATTTAACGGACCTCCATTATATAGCGGTGGTACACATCGTATATTTCTGCAATGCCGACATATGGGAGCGCGGTGTCTATACGCGCGTTAACACGAGATATCATAAAATTAAAATACACAGATATCAGCGGGTCGATAAGCTTTAATATTTTATTACGTCGTTTCTGACAACATATTGAGAAACATGTGGTACATAGAAATACACTTTTCTTCCATTGCATGCGTATACGTGTAATATAGCTTTGTATGAGAAAACTTTATTACAAAAAAATAATTCTCTTCCAGAGTAAATTAATAAATTCTTAATGGCTTGTTATTTTTAATGAATAATTGTTATAAGAGCCTGTCTGAATGTAGATCTATTCTTGTAAGTCAACGATATATTATATAAAAATAATAATTTTTTTTTTCAACGGCGCGCACAGACTCGCTGCCAATAGTCGACGAATAACGTACGTGCGTGGCTGTCGGGGAGCGCGGATCATTTCGGTGTTTAACGTGTTCGCGTTACGGCGGATATATACTCCGTGTCCCTTTAATACGCGCGCCAGGTGAGCGCCACCGCGGTCGCTTCATGGTGGTGTTTGTGTGCCACTCGTATGACACACAAGTATTAAACCATCGCCCGGCTGTAGAGCGGCCGCTATAAAGCAAATGTTAACACCTTGGCTCCGCCGCCTCGGTTCTCTCCTCTCCGTGTCTTTCCTCCGCCTCCGCCGCCACCTCGAGGTCCTCCGCCGTACACGCATTACCTTCTGTAACGGCGCCTATTCAACATCCAGCCACCGTCCTATTCTCACACCCGGCGTCCCCGAAGCCGAACGACCGGCCAGAAGTCTCGACATGCGGCCACGAACCACGAGGGTTTCGCTTAATGCCGCGATTCCGACCATTCCGAGGGATTACGTTTGACCATCGTCGTTCGGGACACCCTTTAGCAGGGACACGCTCCATCGTTCGTGCTGGTACTCTTTTTCCTTTCCTCTCCTCCTTCCTTCCTCCCTTCATTGACGCTGATTCCCGCATCATCCCGTGTTTGTCGCACTTAAGAAAATTGGCAACTTCTGGATTATTGAATCGCGATACTTGAAAATTTTTTCGAATAACGTATTATAAACTAGATCAATTATTCTAACTACTAATGTGTAATAAAGATACTTGTACTACTATTAAAACGCCATATAAATAATTTTATGCATGGAGGACATAATTTTCGTGTATAATCTGTGCGGTTTACATTCGTGTTTGAGTGTCTCTCCGCGGAGACCATGATTATGTGGAGCGCCTTAAGAAAGTCGAAACTAGTTTTGTAAAGTTCCGACGAGTCTTCAAATTATTTAATCGACAAATTTTACGATCTTGCTCGGGCTTATCCCTCCCGAAAATCACTCTCCACCGAGAGGCTCTCGGTATCACTACCGCGGCAAACTCGGACCATCTCTATGCAGACACCCTATAATCTTCCTCAGGGCTTAGCTTACTGCAGCGTGGTACGCGGGATCGACGTACCTGGAACTCGACATCTCGTTCCGAGCGAAAGGAGTTAGAAGTTCCAGCAAGCCACCTTGATTAGAACACCCTCTCCACCTCTTTTTGTCGCTTTTACTTCATCTTGTAATAGAAAAGGGCCGACCAGGAAGGAGTATATGCGTCATCTCCTGCGAGGGCCAGTTGGCAAGCTCGTTCGTTAGCTCCAAGATGAGGCGTGTTCATGGAAGAATAACCGCGCCGTAGTAGTGAAGGGAGACCACGAGGAACGCGGTGTGATAGCGCGAGGGAAAAACCTTGTACAGGCGACAACTAGGAAGTCTCGCGGCTTGACCTTTACCGTTAAGATGTACCTTAATTCTCGTCTACGCGGGAATTTCATCAGAAACTTCAGTAACATCTCTTTCGCTTTTCGCATTTTCATTTTGATCCTTCTACAGCTGGTAGAAAGTAGAAGACTTGTGATCTACCAGAGGTGTGCTTCGTTCTAGTAATGTATTTTATATCACGTTATTAACAAAAATATGGATAAGTATTTTTTTGGATAAAACAAATTTCTTACAAATATATTTTTTATACTTCTTAATTAATACTTCGAAATACGTCGCAACATTAGATTCACTTCGCGATCGGATAAAAAAGTTACGATATCTTTGTGAGACACTTTGTGAGATGCGCTTTCTGTAAGCGTGTTTCGATTTGAAGCCCCGTAGCGAGATGTTATCGCGTGCAGACAAGGTTTTTCGTAATGCGCAAAAATATACGCGTATAAGGTTGAAAGCACGCGAGCCATATCGGTCAGGTCAGCGCTGCGGTATGCGGCGGACGAAAAAAAGAATTGTAATGAATCGAGTGGAGGTTTAGAGAGGGAAGAAAATAAAGGAAGAAACCAATTATAAGAAGACGAGCTTGCACAGCGACGGATCGCGCATTAAGCGATTCCTAGAATACGCATGCATCTTACGATGTATGCGCATATTCAAGATAGTATGTCATACGTGCGAGCTACTAACTGCACGATTTATTTCCTCTCGGAGCAAGAAGTGGGAAAGGAGCAACAAGAAGATTCGAAGGGAATATACTCCCGAGAGACAGTTTCATATATACCGCTTGAGTTTTTATTAAAATAATAAACGAAACTGTAACAAAGAAACACGCTGAATGTAATTGACAAGTATTCTGACTAGAAAAAGAATAGAACTAATATCTACTAATGAACAGCAATGAAAAAAAGGAAATTTAATTAAAAGAAATCTATTAAGATACAAAAGTCGTCAAAACCGATCGCACTTAAAGACAAGATTTATCCGATTTTGGAATTGAAAGACAAAGTTCGCCATTTCACACCTCTTTCGCCTACAGTTATTAATGCACTGCCGATCAAACTTATCCCATCTCGCGGTAGAAACAGACAAAATGGCAATCCTACTGAGCGAGAATACGCGCCAGAGTTATCGATAAAGTGTTTGGTTCGGCAACTTGTCGGAAAGTTGCCTAGCAGGGAAAATTAATGATGCCGCATCAGTTCAGAAATACAAAATATTAAAGTTGTACAAAATTTTCTCATGCATGTATTTTGCAGTAATTTACGATCGCATCTTCGATTGTCTTATTGTTGGGTCTAATTCTGAATTTTTCCTTGAGCTTTCTGTGAGTTAAAACCTTTTTTCTCGATGTAACAATAAGTTTCCATTTTAACGCTCAACGATCTCAACACGAACGACTTAATTGTTATTCATTCGTATTTTCGTGCTGATTTGCGCGGACGCAACTGTCCCGAATAATCTAATTAACTCGCGATGGAACGTCCGGTGCCTCGCGATCGATCGTTCGGCGTTTCTGGTTCGACGATAACGCGATATTCCCTTCCTTGTCGGGGAGGGCCAGGTTCGTTACCTGTAGAACAAGACGCGTGCTCGCGTAGCTGCTGCATGCGAGGACGACGCAGCGCGAGAGGGAGAGCGATGGGGAGGGAGGGGGGTATAAAAGGAGCCAGGGCAAACGTGACGATGGCGGAGTCCGCGCGGTACCCGCGGGACGAAGGAGGAAAGGGGGGGTGGTGGCAGAAAAGGAGTACCATGGTCGCGCTACGGGTGGCGAATCGTGGGGGAGAGAATCCAGAAAGAAAGAAAGAAAGAAGGTAATTACGCGCGGAGAGACAGGCAGCTCCCGCGCAGCCTAACCGATCGCCTAACCGATTCTCGGAATACGCGGCCGGCTCGCGATGTATGCGCATATTCAAGATAGTATGTTACATACGCGAGCTACTGACCGTACGTTTCGCTCCTTCGTCCACCCCCGTATCCCGCCACCCTTGCCCCCCCCCTCCCCGTTCGCCACTCGTCCCTCGGTTCAACAGGGCCCGCAGGATCTTCCCCTGTCCCTCCTCCGCTCTCCTCTCGACTCCGTTCAACCTCCGGCAACCCTCTCTTCCCCAACTCACGGCCTCACGACGTGTACGCGAGATCCCCAGAGGTATTTACATATATGGACCGCGGCGTGGTGCGCGCGTATCTT